TTTCACCAAAAAATCTGCAAACTAGAGTTTTCAAGCTTCAAAACCCTTTTTTTAAATTTCCTGTACGATTATTTTTCACTGAAATACAGCCTGTTGAAAATCACCCAAAAATTTCAAAAATTTTTATGTTCCCTTAATTTTTGCGAGGAGTGTATAATCACAGCAATGGCGTGCTAATTACGAACTCATTAGAACAAAATCAAGTGGCACAGAGTTACCAAAAGTCAACACGCGAGTCCTGAATATTACCAACAATAACTCGGTAATACAGTAATGTACGGGGAAGTGGTGTCGTGTTTACCAAATTTGGCGAAGTGTCAAAGTTTCGGGACCGGCAACTTCGTGATAAGTAAACTAAACAAACACTTCGATAGCGAAAATGCTTCCAGAAATTATTTACATATACCTACATAATTTGTAGACTTCGCTTCTAGGTCTAGAGCAGGGGTTCCCAAACTTATTTTGTCTACTGGGCAATAGAGAGTTTGAGAATAAATTATTTTTAGCGCCCCCATTTTTTCACCTAATTAAAAACCATTATTACTTCAAGATCAACAAATCACCCCCGAAGCCTCTACACAACGCCCCCATTTTTTTCTGGGTCTCTTACCCCTTTAGGCCTGCAGCGCCCACAAGGGAAAGGCTGGTCTAGAGAGTACAATTTAAGTAAATTATACGTCTATGGCCATAACTAGGGGGTGGGAAGGGCATTGAGGGGCAATGCCCTTTGTCAAAAGGCCCAATGTTCACCTTAAAATGAAAGAACCAAAGAAAATTTTACAGATTCGCTTTTTCAAAGTCACTAAATTACTGCTTCTGCCCTACCAAAAAGTTCTTATGCCCTACCTAAAACTTGGGTCTAGCTACTGCCCTGTATACATCTGAAGAGAATCTAAATGCGATTACAAGAGGTAGGTATATAAGTAAAATTATGGGGCAAAGTTTGCGGTCGCTTGTTTCGAGACAATTAACGAATAAACCTATTTACTTATAGGACACAGTAGCTCTAACTTTATTGTTAAATACGCTAATATTAGGCTGTTTTTCTTGTGTGGTGATAGTTTTATGGTTTAAATTTCATTTAATGTAAATTATATATAATGTTTACTAATTATTATGTTATCCACGTATCGAAATTGAAATGTTATGTCTAAATGTTAATCTTGCTGTGTACACATGTTTTTAAATTGTAACCTAGTATAAAAACCATAATTACCTACATATATATAAACCTAACATGGTTATAATTTGTTATGTGTGCCTCATTAAAAATAAAAAATAAAATAAAATAAAAGTACATTAAAATTAAGAAATATAATGTCAACAGAGATTTAAAAGGATAACTAAATCGTGCATTGTGAAAATGTATAAACATAAGATTAAATAGTTTAGGCTTTAGATTGAAACAATTAAACTTTCAACCCATTTATGATAATAAATAATTTTGATCTTAACTACTTAACCAATTTTGATAAATTGCTAAATGACACCAATTTAAAAGAAAGAATATTTATCAATTCAGATAGAAAAATAATATCCCAAATCGGTTTACAATTGACGGAGTTGGGATTTGGGGGAAAGGGATTGTTAGTAATGGAGACTGAGAATCCCATTGCTAGCAATATACCCAACCAGGTCGACCTCCTCGCGGTTCTCCCTGGAAACCTGGTTAATTCCTGATGAATTCATCATGATGGGCTAACGGGCCTGTTTTCATTCTCATCTATCACCCTTCACTGGTGCTCCGCCAGCGTATCCCGTTAGCGCAGGCGGGGTTACCATACCATTTTCACCCATCAAAAAAAAATTTACGGAGTTATGAAGTAACAAACTTAAAGAAGATACAACCGAACTGAGAACCCCTTTTTTTTAAATCGGTTGGTAGATGTTTTTTCTCTATAGTTAACTTTCTGAAATTATAGTTGTGTCATTATTGGACCCATATTTATTTGTTTATTTCTTATTGTATTCCGTAATATAATTAGTAGATAACATTTCAATTATGGACCCTGTTGGACATAGCAAGTAGGAGAGAGGAGGACAACACTTTTTTTCACCTTAGAAATAGTCTAAGGATCTGTTACAATATTATCCAGTCATTGAAATTGTATCACGATAGGTACGTATTTTCTTATTATTATTATTATTCATTATTTATGTATTGGTGTGTATCTATTCATATCTTAATTGTTATTAGTATTATATAGTTATTTAATATATTCAGTATTTTATAATTATTTATATTCATATTGTAGAATTAATTAATAAATAGTTTAATATTTTTTTTTTATACTACTTAGAATGGCAAACAAGCTGATGGCCCACCTGATGGAAACCGTCGCCTATAGACATGAGCAGTACCATGGACATAACAGAGTATACTGTTTCGCCCACAATACTCCCCATGCGTTGCCATTCCTGAGGACTCAGGTGTTATTCCTCTGTACCCAGTAAATTAACGCCATATCCCACCCTTCAAACTGAAACATAGCCATGCAAACACAACTGCTTCACAGTAGAAACACGAATGGGACAGAGGTACCCAAGCTATGTCTTAAATCATTATCGATTCTTAATTAATTATTTATTTATAAATTACAAGATAAATAATTATAATACAATTCTTGTTTTGCCTTTAGTTATATAATATTTCGTCTGTCACAAGCAGCATTTGTGGTTATCATATTCCATCAGCCGTGTGTGATCCTTCGTCGTGTGGTCTCGATATAGTCCACCTCTTCCTTTCCCATGGGTATCGTAATAGGTCTCTCTGAAACATCTCCAAAGCCTAGATGCGGATGACAATCCACCTGCCAAGAGTGAAGTAGCTACTAGTAAAATCCTCCAAGGGGAAGGCTTATATCCAGCAGTGGACACTTAAAAACTGATATAATGATGGTATCCCATCAGCCTATATTCCATTCTAAGTTGCATAAAAACCTTTCATTACTATTCTTAATATACTCTTATTTTTGACGCAAACAAAGTGATGAGTTTCAGTTACTTGAAACTGAATTTTGAATTTTTATAGAGCAATTCATGCAGAAATGGCAAATAAACCCACCTAATAGATACAGTAACACACAATTAACGTCCATTATAGGCTATTGTTAAAGCAAACACAGGAGCAGTGATTGTTGGAAATATATTGTAATCGTCTGCCAGCTTGTGTTACTATACTACAACCTGGACATTTAACCCTTATTTGCATAACGGTGGAAATTTTCATCATAACATTGAATGCCCAAAAATTATATAAAAGAACAAGTTCACTTTAAGTTGATCGTGTCTGGATACCTTTTTAATGTCCATTGCAGAAAAAAAAACATAACTGTCAAATTTATTTTTTAACCATTTCCCCTTTAATTTTGAACATGAATTATATCACCATGATTTATTTCACCAATAAAAAAAAATCATGCAAAGAAGGGTTTAATGAAATAAAAACTGCGTATCTTAGTAGTTCACTGCATGGCTGATGATATCTGTAAAAGTATAAATTTACATATACCGAGCAATATACACCGGACGGACGGATAGATGAGGACAGAAAACTTATATTTGTCAATCGCATAAAAAGTTTATACAGGCGTTTAATAACTGCCGAAGTAAACGAAGCGAAAATATAGATAAAATTTATAGAAATTATAGAATTTCAAGAAAACTTCTTTAATTTTAAAGTTGCTTATTAAAAGAGCAGCTAGAAATTTATTACTTCTTCGGTGTATACATTATTTATTTACTACCTATATACCGAGGCTTAATCTGCGTGTATCAGTATATATAATAAGCTATGTGCTAAGTAAGTCGCCGTTTAGATCCCGGCATAGAAGAGGCCATCCCTTCCTTTCCCGTGGCGTCGTAAGAGGCGACTAAGGGAACTTAATGATAGAGAAAAGGACAGCAGCGTCCCTCTTTTTTTTTTTATGCGTGAAAATGGTATGGTACCCTGCCTGCGCTAACGGGATACGCTGGCGGAGCACCAGTGAAGGGTGATAGATGAGAATGAAAACAGGCCAGTTAGCCCATCATGATGAATTCATCAGGAAGTAACCATGATAGTTTCCAGGGGGAACCGCGAGGAGGTCGACCTGGTTGGGTATATTGCTAGCAATGGGATTCGCAGTCTCCATTACTAACAATCCCTTTTCCCCCGCAGCGTCCCTCTTAAAACATCATTAAAAACCCAACTGCGGTTGCCAATCCGCCTGCCAAGCGTAGCAACTACTGCCAAAAGCTTATGTTCAGCAGTGGGCAGTTAACAGCTGTAATGATGATGATGTGCTAAGTTAGTATATAACCTATCCGTTTGTCAAATTGCATTTAAATCTATTCAGTAGTTTTTGCGCGAAATAGTAACAAACATTTATCAATCTGTCCATCCATCCATGGTTACACACTTTTGTATTGTATTGTAAAATTTTTATTGTACATATTTCAAATTAAGCACTGATAAATGATTGAATATACAATGGCGGACTTATCCCATAAAGGGATCTCTTACAGTCAACCTTTGAGAAGTTGAAAGAAAAATATAGAATGTATAAGGGTAATAACCGTACAATTTGTATTAATTTGTATTAATTACATCAATAGAATAATATTAAGTAGGAACCTAATATTTAAAAAAAATGTTTTTTTTTTATACAACTTAGAATGCAAACAAGCTGAAGGTTCACCTGAAGGAAAATGGTAACCGTCACCTATAGACACGAGCATGTACATAACAGAGTATACTGTTTTGCCCATGATCCCCCCATACGTTTCCATTTCTGAGGACTCAGGAGTTATTCCTCTGTACCCTGTAAATTCACGCCATATCCCACCCTTTAAACCGAAACACAGTCATGCAAACACAACTGCTTCACGGTTGAAACACGAATGGGACAGACATACCCAAGCAAACGACTTTTGTAACCACAAATTAAGAATGCTTAGTAGAATAATCTAAAAATTCTAGTAACAATTATTATTCCATGTCATAATTGTACATTACTTACATCGTGAGAGAAGAATAAAACTCTATTCTGATACCATGTTGATGATCAAACAAAGTCATACCTGAAAATAATATTAATAATTTTAATAAACAGTAATTAGGTTGCAGTAACCAGGTACCATCAGACGGGCTGTATGCTTTACCACCTTCGTAGTATAAAATGGTCGAGATTACCATCACACCAATTGCCTGACCCTCAAGACATCCGGTGTTATTTTTAATGAATAAAGATGAAATAGTACCCTCCGTAGTTTCATTAATATTGGAAAATAATGGAAAAAAGATCGATGGTAATGAAATTAGATCATTTACAACATTAACGGCTTTCAGGCGAGTCCGTAAGTCATTTTTAAATTCTTAAATTGACATTTTAAGAGGCGCTTCTGTCGTACAGAAAGGTGATTGATGAGAATGAAAACAGGCCAGTTAGCCCATCGTGATGAATTAATCAGGAATTAACCATGATAGTTTCCAGGGGGAACCGCGAAGAGGTCGACCTGGTTGAGTATATTGATAGCAATGGGATTCTTACTCTCCATTACTAACAATCCCTTCCCCTCTCCTACCATTGTAATATATCTAACTTAATCTCTAACTAAACTTCCAGTACTACTACATTTTATGCCAATGAACATGTCCCAGTCACGTGAACAAAATCGCAGGTGAAAACTAGTATTAGTACAAATAAAGCTATATATTTTGATTATTAAACAGAAATAAAGGAAAATATTAACCCACATTACCTTTAATCCTACATTTTAACAAACACCTCCGCGTATGTTCGTTTGATTCGAAGCACGCTTCCTCTGCCGTCTACAGTCAACATTTACTGCATAAAATATCCATGTTGTGTGTTGCTAAATATTGAAGCAGCCATCTGGCGTAGGCGGCAGTCACGAAATTTATAATTTAAAACTATTTTTAGACCTGGCGACATTTTTAAATTCTTAAATTGACATTTAAAAAGGCGCTTCTGTCGTGGTTCATAATTTAAAAATGTTTTAAGCAGCTTGCTTATACAAGAATTAGATATATGATGTATAGTTGAAATCATAATTACGTCGTAATATATTAATAAAATACTCGTAAATTAGTATTGGTCCTGGGGTAGAATAAGCCACCCCTTCCTTTCCTGTGGCTGTCGTAAGAGGCACCAGAAACACAGGGGGCAAACGAGTATGCTCACCTGATGGTAAGTGACTACCATGCGGCTCACCTATTGGTAAGTGACTACTGCCGCCCACGATCACCCATAACACCACACACAAGGGGGTAAAGGGATTGTTAACAATGGAGTTTGACAGCCCCATTGATAGCAATATGCCTTATTAGGTCGACCTCCACGTGTTTCCCCCTGGAAACCATCGTGAACAATTCTTGATGAATTCGTCACGATGGGCTAACTGACCTACTTCATTCTCACCTATTATCCTTCACTGGTGCCCCGCCGGTGATACCGATGGCGCGGGTGGGGTTACCATTCCATTATCATCCATTTAAAAAAAAACCACACACATAACCACAATATGGTTTTGTCGTAATTGAAGTGTTTTTCACGAACTTTTTTATTAATGTAACCCAAGTAGAAATGTAGGTGTTATTCGAGACCAGCTTAATAATACTTTCCATGAAGGCATCCTTTAATTATTTAATACATATTCCCATACAATCGTCTACTGATGAGAACTAGATATCAGTATAGTCTTAAGTAACAATTACATAGCAAACTGTCTATATAATTATTGATAATGGCACGCTAAATATAATAGGTAGATAAAATTTATACTAGAAGAATAGAATATACACGATTACTACTGGCTATCTTTCATGACATCGTCGGATATTATTGTTAAAGTATTAATTATTATAATGGAGCGAATAAATAATTAAATCAACACTGGCATATTGAAGTAACATAATAAAGTAATGTAAATGAAAACAGTATTAAGGACATAACATTTGCACGCCTATGTATGTATGGCGAAACATATACTTATGTTTTTTTATATATCTCATGTTTCAAGTGAATAATAAATAAATAAATGTATTTTATAGAAACCCTGAGTTGCCAAATACATTTTTTTTTATCTTTACTTGTCTGTTAAAAACATTTTGTCCATATCGATACAATTTCAAAAGACTTCCAGGTGAATTTGAAACAATTGTGGGAAAAGATAAACATGATATATATATATATATATATATATATATATATATATATATATATATATATATATATATATATATATATATATATATATATCATATCAGCTGGTAACAGGCCTTCACCTTGAGGGCTCTTGGCCGTAGTTGTCACGCTTAGCAGGCGGATTAGCAACCACAATTCTGTGCTACGGTAATTGCTTACCAACAGGTGGGCCGTATGCCTGTTTGGCACCTCAGTGGTATAAGAAAAATATTTTAAGAAAAAAGAAAGGGGTGGCCTACTCTATACCGGGACCAAACTAGAGGAAGGCTTATATTCAGCAGTGGCCAGATAACGGCTGATATATATGTATATAAGTATCAAAAGTAAACAATAAAAAACTATAATCCAGGAGATACCCAAATTCATTTGGTCTAACTCTGCCTTCACAAGTATTTTAAAAAACAGTGACTTACAATTAATAAAGAAATAACTGTTCAAAATAGAGCCTTAATCCCTTTGTAATAAAACACAGATTGTTTACAATATTGGAGTCCGTCATTATTATTTTTCTCCCACCTTAGATTAACGAAAAAAAAAGTACTGACCGAATGGAGGCGTGTGCGTGGACGCTTGCTCCTGTAAAATAAACGTAATTTGTGTGGTTTAAACTGTATGTGCCCTGAAGAACCTGTAAGAATTTGTGTGTGCGTGCATATAGGATTTGAGGAAGAACTGCCAATCACCTACAGCAGAAAAACTCACGAAGCCGATACCAGGTTAGTCCTCCTCGACAGACAAAATCTTTTCTTTATAAAACGCTTCCACTGAGGTGTTTTATCTTAAACACTAACACATAATTAAAAAGCAAAAATCCACAAAAAAAGTTCCAAACAACAGAATCTGAATTGTCGAAAATATGGTGGAATGTACACCTTTTTCTCCTTCCTTTAATATGAACCCAAATTATTTTTGTCAACTGTAGAGCACTCGAAAAATAATGATAGACCAATACAATGCAAAATCAAAATCAAAGGATATTTTTTTAAGCCTCCCATATAAAAGGAAAAACCCCGCTTCGACAGACAAAAAATGGGAAATGAAATGAAATTCATAGATGATATTTCTTTTTCCTTATATTTTTGCATATAAATACTACAATCTCCCACAGTCTTGCTTAAGCAAAACGGTTCGCTGCATTTAGATATGTTTTATTAACATTTAGAAAAAACAGCATATTAAGTGATCATCTAATAGATTTATACAACTTAGAATTGTAAACAAGCTGACGGCCCACCTGATGGAAAGTGGTAACCGTCGCCTATAGTACATGAGCAGTACCATGGACATAACAGAGTATACTGTTTCGCTCATGATAAACAATTTAAATATATTTATTTATACATATTATTTAACTTTCCGTCATTACTATTTAAATTGTTCTGGTATATTTTTGTCATTGTTTCACGTATTTTGTTCAATTATTAGTTATCGCCATTTTGTAACAACTGTATTGTGAAACGGAATATAAATTCAAATATTTCATTTATCAGTTAACTTGTAATTCTGGCCTAAATCTATGGTCAATATTATATAGGCAATAGAAATTAAAAAGAATACCTTATCATCTTATCGCAAAAAGAAACATAACCTCAAAAATAATTATTCGGTCTTAAACCGCATTAAACCTAGAAATTTTGGGAGTCTATCCTTAGACTATGGACATGTGCATGGTTCAGTGATCAACTTCGTTCTGTAATGAAAATTGCTTAAATCCATAGTTTATTTCAGTGTAGTGTAATAAAATAGATAATGTTTCAAGATTTATTAGTTACATAAATTTATATATGAAATATAAATTATACAATACGTATAGTATACTTTCCGTAAAAATAAATTCTACAATTTACCAACCGACCGACCAATCTTTTATCAACGTAAAAGACATTAATTTTCTATGCGCTTTCTCATATATCGTTGAAATGCATTAATGCGGGTGGTTAACGACTCGAGAATGCAATATCTTTTTGGCGTGCTTTATAACGGAAATAAATATATACATAAATAAATAAATCCTAGTAATCCAGTAATATCTTCTAATTTTATGATAAATATATTTTGATCTGTAAGAAAAAGCAGCGACTTTATTACTGCATACCTCCTAATACATTATTAATATAAAAATAAACCTCTATTAATAAAAATAAAATCATATAAATCGAATCTGTATTAATGGTTTGAGAAATATTTTTATAAATCCAAACATACACGTATCTTAAACATTTTAAAATCCGATATACTTCGAGGATTTAGAAAAAATCTACTTCAATTGTAGCACTACATACCACTTATTTTGATTTAAAAACTAAATCACTAAACCGATTTTCCGATCCTTTCAGATATAAAAAGAATTTTCCAAATCAGTTTACAACTGACGGAGTTATGAGATAAAAATATAAAAAAAATGCTAGCGAATTGAAAAACCACCTTTATTTTTCTCGTCCGTTGTAAATATAGAGAGAAATAAAAAATATCAATACCAGAGGGAGACTGTACAAAAGTCGATTGTTCGGGTACCTCTGTCCCATTCGTGTTTCAACCGTAAAGCAGTTGTGTTTGCATGAATTTACAGGGTATAGAGGAATAACATCTGAGTCCTCAGGAATGGCAACGCATGGGGGTATTATGGGTGAAACAGTATACTCTGTTATGTCCATGGTACTGCTCATGTCTATAGACGACGGTTACCACTTTCCATCAGGTGGGCTGTTTTCGTTTTTCGTTTCCGTTAGCTTGTTTGCCATTCTAAATTGTATATAAATATATTATTTTTTGTTTATATATATATATATATATATATATATATATATATATATATATATATATATATATCCGTCATAAATACATTTGAATTTACAACGTACTTCATTACGCGATCGATTGAAGATTGCCAAAATAATGTCGGACATACATAAAACGAACTCTCGAAGAGTTATCCATCTCGACATTATTTTGATGTATGATCAGAGAGGGAAGCCCGTCAAAAACCTTTCTAAAAACAATGAATTATTGTTTCTTTATATATTTTGGGGGATCATTATTCAATATTTTCCACGACGATTGAACCCAAGCTGTAAATCTTATTTGTGTCTATTTCGCTCTATACTATTATTAACTAACCCCCCCCCCCATCCATATTTTCTTAATATAAGTAAAATATTTAACACAAAATTAATAGGAAATCGAATTGGTAATAATGGAGACACTATTAACGGGGACTAGCGTCTCCACTATTAACCAACATGGTTAATTTTTGATGAATCCTTCACGATGGACCAACTGGTTTGCTCCACTTTGCAAAAGTCAAATAACGATCTCTGTCCCATGTGTTAATTCTGTGATGAATCTTTCATGATGGAACAACTGGTCTGTTATGTCCATATCATTCTAAGCGACGGTCCACTTTCCATCAGGTGGGCCGTCAGCTTGTTTGCCATTCTAAGTTGTATAAAAAAATCCCTCTCTGGTCACACATTCACGTACACATCACACGTCCCTCTTATCATCACCAAAGTCTAAATGCTGTTGCCAACCTGCCTACCAAGCGTGGCAATTACTAGCAAAGCCCCCCATATGGAAGAAGCCTATATTTATAGTTCGTAACACTAAGTACTTTTTCATGCTACGTTTAAAGAAACCAAGGTATGAAGGAAATCGTTATATCTTCCGTTAACTATCCACTGGCCTCCCCCATAAAAGGAAACGCCAGCCAGGAAAATAAGCCAGTAATTGTCATGCTTCGCAGCCGAATTGTCAACCACAGTTACGCTTCGATGATATTTTAAGAGGGACGCTGTTACCCATCCCTCGTCTATAAAGTTCCCTTAGCCGCCTCTTACGACACCCACGGGAAAGGAAGAGCGACTACACGGCAATGAAGGGAATACATCAATTCAATAATAAAAAAAATTACACAACGAAATACAATCCACGCATTGCATCCCTAGCGTAAACAATAGCAATAACTCCTTTACCTGAACTGATTGCTTAATGACCCGAAACGTTGCTTCGATTGATAGCAAACTGCCTTTTTATGGCACATACAGGGAGTAAAAGCGATTATAATACCGTTACCTGTATTCGGACAATGTATTGTGCAAACTGAAAAGGTTTCGATAGTTCGGGTTTTAGGGATGTACTAACTTTTCGCTGGTTAGGATTAGGTCGATTAGGATTATTTTGTTTTATTCCGCTACTATTAATATGCATGCGACTGCCAATATTTGAAAATCGACTACTATAATTATTAGTGATGTTCTACGACTTTCTATATTAGTCATCAATCTCCGACCGCTATTCAGTCCACGCACATATTGCAATACATCTTCTACCTCTAAACGAGATATCTTCAAGCAAATTAATAGGTAGTTGCTCAGAGCCTAGTGTTGTCCGTTCGGTGTACAAACTGCGAAGTCTGCTGCAATATAGTAGCTATTTGGCACAAGAAATGTATCAAATAAAAAAAAAATAATAAAACATATGTTATCGTCATTTAATAAACAGTCAAGGAATTGACTAATTTCTCCCCACTACAACATCCGCCACGCCGTAAGCGGGAAACAAGTATTAGACAATGAAAAAAAGGCGGTTTAGACGCTCGACAGAAACGGAAGGGAACACATCGGCCTCTGTGTACGATTACTAAGTATAGAATATTCAATTTCATTTATAATTAGAAAGTACCGTTATGATTTATTAAACTTAAAATTCATTAGTTATGTTACTGATTAGATGTGATTTATAGAATTGAAACTTACCAACTAGGTTATTCAAAAATATTAACGTTATAATTGCCTAATTAGAATTACAATGGTCTAAATTTATTATTGTCCTAATTTATATACATAATTATTGATTATAGGGTTGTTAAAATTGTCAAGAGGGTATTCAGAATATTATGACTTACTATGTGATATGTTAAAATAAATGTATTAATCCTAAAATTGTTTTTACATTTTATAATAATCAAATGCTTACCTTACATGCATCTAAATAAATAATTCTTATTCCGGATGTGTACATATATATATGTAATTATTGGAAATAACTAACAAAATAAACTAATTTAATTCCCATTATTAATTTATTTGAGTAAACTGTATAAACACTGGGTGCCATGTTGTATAAGGAGGTCAAAGATATAGCCTGGAATAGAGCTGGCTGGAAGAAAATACATGAATTAGTTGCACCGACAAGAATGAACTCTTAAATTAATAAAAAAAAAATAGAGTTACATATTATTGTTTATGATGGACATAAATTTAAACTTATTGATCAAGATTAAAAGTGGCCATATCTCTTCCAGTATAAATGCTATATATCAGAATTTATATTTTTTTACGTATCTAAAAGAGCGATTTATTGAGGTGTGGTTTCAAATCTCGTCGCCGACCGCTGCAGTAAATGATTGGGGAAACGAGGTTTTCTAAATTGGCTTGGGTTTGGGCTTTAGGGGTTTAAAAACGACGTTATAAATATACGTCTTCGAATCAATATTGCGTAAATACATTTTTTTATGCAATTAAAAATGGCATTAAAGGAAACGACTCACCCATGTATAGCCACGTATTACAAACGTT